GTCAAGGTCACCAAAACCGACTGGTGTCTGCGGTGTCTGTATATACACCATAGTTCCAAATATTAAGACATTCCTGCGATTAGTTCTTGAGATATTGCGGCAACACCGTTTTCCAACTCCAAAAGCAGATTTACCTGCTGTGACCTTGAAAATGGGGTCAAGGTCACCAAAACCAACTGGTGTCTGCGGAGTCCGTATATACACCATAGTTCAAAACATGAAGACAATCCTGCGATTAGTTCTTGAGATATCGCGGCAACACCGTTTTCCAACTCCAAAAGCAGATTTACCTGCTGTGACCTTGAAAATGGGCTCAAGGTCACCAAAACCGACAGGTGTCTGCGGAGTCCGTATTTACACCCTAGTACCAAATAGGAAGACAATCCAAAGATTAGTTCTTGAGATATCGCGGCAACACCGTTTTCCAACTCCAAAAGCAGATATGCCTGCTGTGACCTTGAAAATGGGGTCAAGGTCACCAAAACCGACTGGTGTCTGCGGAGTCTGTATATACACCATAGTTCCAAATAGGAAGACAATCCAGTGTTTAGTTCTTGAGATATCGTGGCAACAAACAGGTGGGACGTACGTACGGACGGTCGTGAATACTATATCCCCCGCTTCGCGCTTTCGCGCGGCGGGGGACAATAAAGGACAAAAATACACAATGATAGTCAGATGTTACAAATAAAGAATGAATGTTGCAAATAAAGGTCATTATGTACATGTGAATAATGAACTAAAAATACTAAACAATACCAATGATCGCAAACAAAATATGTCATATGTAAAGAAAGAACAATGAGTTCTAAAGTATGTGCACGAAAAGGACACTGAACTGCTGAAGGACAATGTTGACAATAAAGAACGTCAGATGCAATTCATAAAATATTCCCAGTTTATTCGGCTTGTACCGCCATGTATATGATAAATGCATATGTAGCAGGGCGTGGAGTCATCCCACAGATGACATCCTTACCTTGTCAGCTTGCTAACGGGGATAACCTCTTTGGTCATGTGGACAAGGCATCCGACCTCTGATCAGAAGGTCCGGGGTTCGAATCCCATCACGGGACTCGGACATTTTATGGCCGCTACACATGTCAAAGTGCTCAGTGTATTACATCATTACTTGTTCACTCAGTGTGTGATGTCATATATATATTTTATACATACATGTATATATAATGTGTATACATGTATATTCTATCTTATACATGTACATACAAGTACACAACCTTCAATAAACACTGATTACATACACACACACACACACTGTGATTCAGCGCTAATAAATTGCTCAAGCAGTGAACAGAGAATTGTAAACTAAAGTCAAATCATAAATAAAGATGGTGTCACACATCTCACAAAAGAAGATTGAACTCCCAATTTTGACATACTTCTACTTGCTTAATGGAAGCTGTAATGTCAAACTGAGGTGTCACTGCATTGTAGTAACCTTGTTGCCTGACGTCAAGGTACGACCTCATCCATGGAATGTTAGAAACTGAGAGAAATTGATAATTGCATTTTTATTGATTTGAAAAAACTGCACACAAACGCAGATATTATGATATCTCCATGTACATAAACATTTTATCCATATGTGGCAAAAATATTTTTAATATTTAAAAACTATTACTTATTTTTTAGGCAAAACAATTAACACGGTGAACGATTTCCCTTTATGCCTAAACAGTAAAGTGTGAAATGGGCAATGCTGTTAACAAGTGCGTCTATCGCAGTACAATGCACACTGTTCCCCTTCTTTTTCATTTTGACTCACGAATAGATTAATTATCAAAACATTTCGAAGCACCTATCTTAGCAAAAGTGCCTCTTAATATTGACCAGTGAACATCCTTAACATCTTATTACAACATTCAAATGATTCATTTTCATAATGATGAATTATCCGATATCACAATGTATTCCAATTATTTGTAATAACAAACAGAGATACATAAGGAACATGTATCACAACAAACTAAGTCCAGCTTCAAGTAGATATCCTGTGTAGTGAGACTGTACACTCCGCCACATCTACATGGGTGTTCATGGACGCTGTCCTCTGCATAAAACTCTTCAATTGGAACATTATCTTGTATTGGCCAGTCCTGGACGAGACACCTCTCTCTCCATCTTTTATCAAAGTGTCTTCGCATTTCCTCATTTCCAAGGATCTTCCAGGCATGACTAATCTTGGTAAACATGACTGACGAATCATTTTCAGATGTGCACGGTTTCTGTTGCTTATCGGGATGGTAGACTTTGGCTAACTTATTAAACTGACGTTTCATTTCATCGTACGTAGAATTTTCCGAACATTCCAAAACCTCATAAAGGTTTTCCATTTTCTTGGCTATTTCAACATTAATGTACTTGATGTTCGCTTGAAATTATGACCAAATATGACGAAGTATGATGCCATACGTCGACGGGGCACTTCCTTTTGAGAAAGAGTCACTTGGCGATAAGATAATCACTCTCATGACATTACAATATTATTAGGCTAGGTGGCTGTGAGAAGCGTTTTCGGCGGCTGACTCAAAATTCGGTCAGACGTGAGTAACTGTTGTCAATAAGTTATAACCACATTTGGTTTTTAGAGGACGTAAATAAAGCAAAGCCGCTTTATCAGCTGTTTAAATCCTCGTCAACTGACCACAAAATGTTTAATGCCTCCTTTTTCCATGACATCCGTCATTCAGATTGACTTGGCTACTGTCTACCTAAATGTGTTGACTGGGCTCCTGTCTAACCCTAACTCGTCTGCTGGTTCCCGGCTACATATGCGCGTCGTCAACTTGCGCCATACACACACACTGAATGATTGAAACAGAATGATGTCTTTTCCTCTGTCAGAAGATAAAATGTAACTGAAGTTTTAAATGTAACTGAGTTTAAATTCGTATTTGATTTTTCGGCAAATAACATAAATCTAAACTTAAAATCATTTACAAACTCGATATAAATATGACATTACTTTTACCAAAATTAATTATCTATGTAAATACGTTTAGAAAATCAAGTTGGATATAACAAAAAGATTGTAATAGTACTAAAAGAACGGGATCATGATTACCGCCATTGCCATGATCGTGTCCGTTTCATCCTGTCGATGATTAACGATCCAGATTGTCTTTGTTTATAGTAAATTAACCGTAATAAAAGTAGCTTTTGAGTTTGAGTGTTTTCTTCTCATCAGCAAAACAAAAAATACGATCAAAAGAAAAACATAACATCCATCATAATGTAAGTGTCGGAATACATTCCATACGTAATTAAATGATAAGTAAAGCCTACTTGTGAAAGTTATTGCAAGTTATATTTACGGGGGGAGGGGGGGGGGGGGGGGGGGGGGGGGGGGGCTTACGCTATTCTCCTGTTTTATTGATTCGACACGTAGTACATTGAAGGCTGCCTCAGCAGTTCCGGCTGATCTGCCCATCTTTGGGACTCGTGTGTTTGAGTAGGGTACATTTATCTTTTGGGAGTTCTAGTATCGATAAGATTCGTATTTTCGTATTGATATGAACTGATTTTCAGAAATGGATAGAATTTCTTTGGCGTCTCCGTTTAGACACGTTCGAGGAGCTAGCCATCTTACAGCTATTTCATCTTTTGGCTTCAGGAGATCCACCGTAGATAGCGGATCTAATTGCAATTTTTGTTAGTGGACTTGCAAGAGGAATCTTGCATGTTTATACCATAACTATTTTATTATTTTTATAATTTGTTTTGCTCATTTTTTAACATCTTGCATGAAATAAATAGTTACGTATGTTCGTATTCTTTTTCAAAAAGACTCTAAACAGTGCAATATACAGTTGTTGCTACTATATGAATGAATATACTGGTTTGAAAGAACCAACTTCTAGTTAACATGAGAGTATCCTTCACAGCTCTCTCAGCTCGTGTTCCTCTCCATCTGAAACCTAGTCCATGACTGTAACTCAACAACAGTGGGTAATTTGCCTTTGTTGTTTTAACTAAGTGTAGAGATATTGGCATGTAGTGATTATGATATGTGGTTATTTTGAGAGACAACCGTGTGTTTATTTAATACTCGTGGGCGTTCACGGCCACACTTACTTACTTACTTACTTACTTACTTACTTACTTACTTACGTGCGCTTTCCGACATTACCTAAATGAGAAGCTAAAGCTAAGATTCGCAAAACAACAGTGGAACCATTTTATCATTTGCAGTGGGAACAAACTGAAACCAGACAATCCAGTGATTGACATCATGAGCATCGATCCACGCAATTAAGATCGATGACATGCATCAACCAAGTCAGCGAGCCTGACCGCCCGATCCCGTTAGTCGCCTCTTACGACAAGCATAGTCGCCTTTACGGCAAGTATGGGTTGCTGAAGACCTATTCTACCTCGGATTTTTTACGGGTCCAATGCTTGGTAGAATGAGGTTTCATCTTTGTCTGGAAAAACACCCATTCACAAAGTGAGGGACAAAGTAAGAATATAGGGTAATGTATCTAACGTAACTCTATATTCCAAACATTCACAAAATATCAAATGAATAAATCATTAAAACAAATAGATCATACACATATGAGGAAAAGAAAATTTAATAAACTTAGATGTCACAAAACACGTTTCCAGAAACGTTATCCGCAATAATGGGAGGGAGACCGTGCAGGCGGGATGCGTCTTCTGTGCTCATTTACTGTGGGAAACAAAATTTTAATAATTTGCTACGTTATCCATAACGTTTAAATAGATTGATGGTAAGTGTACATTTGTCATATGGGGCCGTGTTCGCCAATCCTTCGCAGCCGTTTTTACTGCATCGTAGGGACAGTTTGTGATAGGTCCGTTCTAATTCGTGACCAACTCGTGTTATTCCGGGGCAAACGGAATGCAGTTTACAGAAAGGAGCCATTCGTCACCACTCGCCTCTTTCCGTAACCTGTCGGAATAACACGAGTTGGTCACGAATGGGAAAGGGGCGAGTGGTGACAAATGGTCCGTTTTTTTTAATTACCATGACCCATTCAGAAAATATCGTTTAACTTCGGGCACCTCCGACACCAACGTAAGAAATACCGAGTAAGCGTATAAAAGCTCCTCACAGCGATATCCCGTTCGCGGAGCTCTCAAGAAGGTTTCACGCGCTGGGCAGGAGCTTGATTGATAGGGCCATTCTACGATATTCTCGATCTGCATCCGGTCCAAGATGGCTCTTCTGGACGATTGGAGAACTGTTGTCAATGCTCATTATATCAGCAATATCATTCTTGCTGTTTTGTATTTTATTTTGAAAACAACACCGACAGTTTGCACATTTCTTTTCGAAGACTGCAAGCTAGAAATCGTAAGTACGAGACAATAGTCCTTATTCCTTCGTGTGTTTTCTGTACTGAAGCCATTCACTTGCTGTAATACTCAAGAGTGGTGCCCCTCCGGCGTAGTTTGACATTGACAGGTCTCACCTTTCCGGGAGTGCTACATAACCAGTGGACACGTCGACAATTTAGATGAATATTTGTTTTGTCTGCGGGTTGATAACTTGATACTCATTTAATGACTGTTCCATAATAGCCTAAAAGTTTTTGTTGTACAAAATTATTATTTAGACAAAAATTTGAAAGACCCTGTTATCGTGGTCATTTCCATGAATCACCTGTTTTCGAAATATACTCTTTTCGAAGAAAGCATCAAAATGGGATTTCAATTGGATTTCAACTCATGTTGCCAACTTGAAGCTAAGCTAATGAGATAATCTAATTAGCCAGCCCTTTACCATGGGCACTATCACAAATAATTAGTTCTTGTTTACCTTGATGCACATATGCTGTAGCCTTTTTCCCTTTGAGATTAACCCTCTGGATGCCAGGACAGAGAGGTTACACAGGTACAAAGAAAAGGGGTCATAGTTCCTTTATGCTTAGCACTAGTTTATTGTAACTCGGGTCACTTGGTGAGAATTAGCTGTGGGTAAGGACAGTATATTTTCATGGTGTTTTGTTCATGAGGAACCAAACTATTCCACCACTAATATAGATATTGAAACTGTATACGTTTAGTTATTAAAAACCCATAAGAAATGATGAAATCGGACTTCATAAAAAAGAGGTAGTAGAGAAATGGATGCCCCCTTTCTAAGATATAACTTAGTCCTTAGATTCCAACATTCTCCTGACTGTGTAAGTGTAATTTGACTAATGTTGCACCATTATTAATGGAGCACTAGCCTTATCATCAAATGTAATGAAATACCAAAAAAATAACACCATTCTATTCAACGTCATGGCTGGTTTTATGTTTTTGACAACTGATATTTTGATTAATATATATCTCCCCTAATTTTCGTTCATGATATGGAAAATCTCTATGTGTAAAACAGAATTTAAAGCTTTTTTGACACAACATTAAATGACTGCTTTTACCAAGTGAATAATGTCTTGAATATATAATCTATTGGATAGTTTATCGTGTATCTCAATTGGACAAGACACGCACCTGTTTGGCATCAATTTATGTAATGAAATAATCCAAAGGATATTTCAAAACAACCAAAATTATATTCAATATTGGACATATATTTGTTCATTATTATGTTATTATTTCTCTTCATCTCGTCTCAGAATTACACAATAAAATATGTGAAGAAAGCTCTGTTGGTATAGAATTATCAGGAAAATCGTATAAGGTTAAACCAACGGGGTACATGGCATGGGTTTTATTTTAATACTTTTTAAAAGTCCTGGAGAAATAAAGTAAACAGTTTAATATTCTGTGATCACAATATTGAAAAAAGAATGAACCCATTGATTATGTAATGCAAAACAAGAGGAATAATTCGTGAATTGTTTGTGATTAACGCGCACCTGGCGAATTGTTAGATATCTCTGTTCTGTGTATCAAACGACATTGACAAATATCCAAAGTGAACTGAATTGTGTGAAAAAATGTCTAAAAGATATGCAAAATCTACATCATAACTGAAACTGTAAACATCATGATACAATGATCGTGTGCAAGCTCATTCAAGGACCTTCACCTCCAAGAAATTACCAGATATGTACAATGAGATATGTACTGTGACCGACTTTTACAAAATTGGAAAGTAATCAGAAACATTCTGACAAGCTATGTATTGTTATTTGTTGTTATATTTTTCATTGAAACCAACAGAAAATTCAGATAAATACCATTGTCGTGCGTGATTTTGCATCAGTCATGGCGTCACACAGGACGGTAACTTTGACAATTTCTGTTGAAAATATCAAATCATTGCAATGTATCTATTTTAAATTCCCTAATTCTTCCTTCAATTCTCTTCCCATGCTTTTTCTGAAAATGTTGAGCCAATATCTTGAACGAAAAGACGAATGGATAGCTCAAAATAAGAGAAAATGCTGCACTGTGTAAAATCTGAATTTTGCTTTGTTTACATTTCAAACAAGTGCAGTTTTTCAAGCACAGCGTTCATTTTCACACCAAACTTATTTTGCTTGATTTCATCTAACCACTTTTTATTGGTGACAAAGGCCATTAGTCATTTGTTTCTAAAATGTATGAGGAATTCAAGGATTTATGTATCACAGCCAAGTTTGAAATATACATGATGTTACATGCGTCTCATAACCGGTGTACCTGAAACATGAATTTTTTACTTATCCTGCATTACTCATTAATGCATGTCACTGCTTGTTCTGGACAGAGAAAAGAGCTGTGTGAAGATCTTTGCTTGAAGAAGTTGTTCCAACTATAGCATGGAAGTTAATTTAAGGTACCAATGTTTACTACAATATCTGAAAAACTATTGGACCTACTCCAGTCAAAGTTGGTATGAGATTATTAAACAGTCATACATAACTGGATATTACATTTAAAGGCAATCAGTGCATGAATAAAAAATCTGTCTATTTAGCTATCACTATTTCATCAACAACCAGACCTGTTCGTCACAGGTGGAACGAGCATTCATTGTAACAGCCATCTGCATAATGCTACCCCTGCGTCACAGGGCCATATGACACAGTTGAACCAATCAACTCAACTCGAAAGGTTGCACGGGAATCACACACGGTGTTAGCGTTGGGCGTCTCAAGAAGTTATTTAATAATATTTATCCAATTATTTTTGCATTCTTTTTCAGGTCAGTGTTATTGACTTGAATGTATCATTCCTTGCCACATTATTATATTTCATGCATCATGTTATTAGGTGTAATATATCATACGTAATTATTCATTTAGACAAATCATTGCTTTATGGTTCTAAGAAAATATTTTAGTATTTTCGTAGATGATTCGAGACTTTCGGGGCTGTTTCGGGTGAAAGAGAATCAAATTCTGAGCCAAGAATTGCACAAAGTGGACAAGATCATATTACGACATGTACTACAAAGCACGAACCTGAAATTCGTAGACGATTCCTAGAAATTCTTTGATAAACAAATTTTTCTCACGAATCCCACGAACTACAAGAATGTATGGGAATCAAATAAGATATATTTAAGATTCTTAAGAAATGATTAAGAATATGTATGAATATGTAAGAATTCATATCCGTGGTAATTCAGGCTATTACATGTCGTAGTGAAATAGGGGTATATGTATTGCACTATTCTTGGTCCCACGAAATGCCCTCGTCGTCAGATTCAGAGTCTGTGCTGTCACCTAAATGAACAACAACAGGCTGGACAGTATCTGGTCGGATACAGTCTTGTTTCGAATGCTCTTCCTCAACTTTAATAAAATGTTGGACACAGTTTGCCCAACGTACATCTGTAAATTCTCCCATCCCTTTCAAGACAATCTGCTTGACGTTGGCAAGCTTGAAGGTCTTTTTTTGCCGTGCGACCATATTTTTCAAATCACCCCAGATAAGTTTGATGGGATTCAAGTCCCAATGGTAAGGATGAAGTCTAAGCACTTCGTGACCGTGTTCTCTCAACATGTTGTCAATCAGATAAGAGGGCAGTAGTAGTCAGTTTTTTTGGCTTTCGTGGGCCGAGCAATGCAGTTGTTGCCCAACCACTGACATCTCACCTTTGGTGGAATTTGAGGTTGGACAATGGTTATTAGGATCTCGACAACTGTGATAGGGAGCATTGTCCATAACCACCAAGGATTTATCAGGCAGTGCTAAGAGGAGCTGCTTTTCAACATACGCAGTGAAAACCTGACTATTCATCTCGGTATGGTAGTCTCTGCCATCTGTAGATCTGGATCTGAACACTAGATCACACCCAGGGAGGAAACCTCTGTGGGAGCCTGCATGGAGGTCAATCAGAGGCTCCCCTTTACCAGGGCGGATCTTGCGCTGTGGCTCTCTGGTATCTGGGTGAGACCATTGGTTAGCCGCTGTGTGGCCAGGCGTTAACCCAGGTTTCGTCCAAATAGACAGGCTCATAGCCTTCTTCTCGTTTCTTTTTAATAGTGCGCAAATAATTGATACGCAAACGAATGATATCTGGGCATTCACACATTGCTATTTTTGACCCTTTCGTCTTTTTTTACTGATATCCAAATTTAGAAAGTTTACAAATGGTCATGCTCTGTAAGGAGAATTTGTTTTAGTTTTCGTGTTGAAATAAATTCATTTTCTCGCCGAATCACGTCCCTGACAACTTTCTTGTCAAAGGAATCTAACTTTAATTTCCTATCCTGTTTTGAGATGCCCCCTAAGCATTGCTAAGTGATGTGCAGGGTAGCATGTGTTTTTATGAGAGTTCAAAATCTTAACTACGGTTTGTTTGGGAAGCTGTAACGCATGAATTGTTCTTTTCATGTACTTTGAAATGTCAAAGAAGGGAAAACGTCTATCACTTTCAGCCTTAAAGTATTCAAATATTTTAACAACGAAACCTTTTCGCATCAGCGGAAAGATGCTTGCGCTGAGACATCATGAAATCTAATGTTAACACCGTATTCATTCGTGCGTGATTCCCGTGCAACCTTTCAAGTCTAGTTGATTGGTTCAACTGTGTCATATGGCCCTGTGACGCAGGGGTAGCATTATGCAGATGGCTGTAACAATGAATGCTCGTTCCACCTGTGACGAACAGGTCTGGTTGTTGATGAAATATAGTGATAGCTAAATAGACAGATTTTTTATTCATGCACTGATTGTCTTTAAATGTAATATCCAGTTATGTATGACTGTTTAATAATCTCATACCAACTTTGACTGGAGTAGGTCCAATAGTTTTTCAGATATTGTAGTAAACGTTGGTACCTTAAATTAACTTCCAGACTATAGCTGAGAGGCCAACCCTATCACGCAGCTCCCACGTGACCAAAGGAAGTGACGTCACAGATCCTCACATTACTCTTGTCACTTGCTCAGAGAAGACCTGTTTTT